GTCTAAATTTACCGACTAACTTATTGACAGGGTCTACATTTGCCGACTAACTAGTCAAAAAGGGTCAAATTTGCCGACTAAAAATCATTGATGGGGGAGGGGGTGTCTCTCCCCCCCCCCCACACACACACACGCACCCCTATCCCGCCGGCCTTGGTTGGACGTTATAAAAATGAAGCTGATATACATTTAGAATATTAACTTCAATTAAAAGAGGGTTGGCATGAGTAAAATGATGTTTACAAGACGTGCAATACGCTTCCATTAACCTCAAGCAGTTTTACCCTAGTTTATATGGCAATGAATAAATGAGTAATGTAATTGAATTAAAGTATCTAAATATAAAAAACTTATTGATTTGTATAATACTCCCATTTTGTTCTAACAATTTTGTTACTTAGATTTATTTATTTTTTGTTCTTTAAAAACCGTGATTTTTTTATATGAGATTTTCATCAATATAAATGCTTAAAAGGTTTGTAATTTTTATTTGTTTTATTTCAAAATTGTCAATAAAAAGAAGAGGCATAACACTTGGAAAAAAAAAAGCATTACTTAATTTTTTTCGATATTAACTAATAGTTTTTTTTAATATAAACTAGTTAAAAATTTGATAAGTTCAGTGTTCATATTTTCATATAATGATGAAAGGAAATTGCTTGTCAAAAAAGATTAGTGTCGTCGGCAAACATAATGGTCGCAAAGTTCGAGACTTTTTAGAGATCATTGATATATATTAGGATAAGTTAGGATAAAAGGCGTGGTTATTTGTGGAGTGAAAAAGTTAACTTTTTCAAAATCATGTATTATGTTATACTGTTGTATAAGTTCTCCACGTTTCATTTGGGTTTTTAGAGCGGTTAATTCAAGAATGTCCAATCTTCCTTTTTAAGAAAAATGTTTGAGCCTCAGCTTCTGAACAGCTTTTTGAGCTTTTAAAGAATTATGTTTTCTTTCAACGCAAGCACTTTAAATTTGTTATTTTACTTTGAAGTTGTCTGACACAAGCACGCCGAGGTCAAAGTTCAAGTCATCAAAGTTAAATCAATTGTTGGACAATTTTGTTTTATCTTTTAAAAGTTTGGTTTTCTTATTTGAACTGAATCACGGCTATCTAAAACACAGGCCTATTACACGAGCGGCTAAACTCAAAAAATGGAGGCCGATTAGTTAAAATTTAATTTAGACTTATATTTAATTCATAAAAACATTTTAACAAAATACAATTGTCTTCTAACTTGCTATCTAAAGGCATCCTTATTTTATATTTATTGAAGAGAAAATAATACTAAATTTTAATGAAACATAAATTATTCAAAAGAGTTTTACATAAGCCAAACAACAAAAATAACAAAAGTTTTAATTTAATTACTCAGTTTAAGACTTTTTGAGCTGGCTCCTTGTAAGAGCGTGGAGTGTTTAGTTTTGAATAATTATTAAAAAAAATATTTGACAAAATTTTAAAACTTTTTATACACATATTATTTTGAAATAACCCAAAAAGTATAAGTTGTCGATTGATTCAAAGTAGTTTGATAAGGAATGCAAACAAACTGGCAAAGTCAGATCCAGTGCAATAAAAAGTACATAACAAAAGAAAGTAAATTGACAAAGAATGTCAGTTGGTTTTGTCAAACCACCTCTATCTAAGTATTTGAGATAAGCACCATACTCATTACAATATGAATATGTATCAGTGTCAAGATCTTCATAACCAATTTTAAATTGAAGGTAACCAGCAATGTATACTAAAACCATTTTAACAGCATCAGTTAAACTAGACTCTAATATTTTCAAAGAATCAAATATTTCACTTTCCTTTTGTGTTAATTGCCTCTGACAGTTTATGCAAGTATGACCAACATGAAGCTCACGAAAGTCTGAATCATATTGTAAAAGTAGTTTTGAGTGCTCAATTTTAATTTTTTCTAATATTTGTTGAACTGAAATAAAATAAGCACCACCAGCACTTTTACGCAACTTACTAAATGCTTTTTCAATAGGGTCAGATGTAAAGTTACCAATTTTTCCAAATTTGTGAGATGTACTTAACAAATATTTTGTTAACTCAACTATTCCTTTTAAGGTATGGACTATTGCTTTAGATGTTTCAACAGTCAGTGTTTTTTTTTTTTTTATTATGGCAATCCATATCTTCACAGATTTGTGATAATGAAAGTAGCTGTTGCAGACGAAGATCATCTGGTGATTCGATGACAGAGCGCAAAGGGTCTCTTAACCTTTTATCATCACCCAGTTTGTGAACAATAATAATTTTCCATGCATCTATAAACTTTTTTAGAAATGCTACAGTTCTTTTAATATTGGTTTGGTCTATTTTAGGATGTGTTGATAAAGCAGAAAGTGTTTCATCACAAAAAACTCTTAAACACAAATAAACATTTTGTCGCTCAACAGGTTTTGGAAAGATTGAAGCTGTATTTAAATGTGAAAGAGTCACAAGTGTCTTACATTCTAAGTTGTAAAGGTTCTAAAGATCATCCCACCTTGCAATTAAATTATCATTATTGTCCTTAAACTGAATTTCTTGAGTTTTCTCAGTAATCCAATTATTTCTTATGTTTTTCCATATATGAACATAATCGTAAAGTAAAAAAATGTTATTTTTAGTCAGCAATGGTTTCCCTTCAAAAGTTTCAAAGAGAGAGAAAAAATTTACATTGACATTATTACTACATTGACATTATTGTCACATATAATTGCAACACACCTTCCATTTGCATTTGAAATTGATCCAAGTATAGAACCAACTACTTCAAACTGAAAATCTGAGTCAAGACAACATACTGGAATCATGCATACTATAAAAGTGGGTCCACCAAAAAGATATTTAATCATAATAGCTAATATTATTTTTGCTAATTTGTCTGGTTGATTAACAGATTTCCCAAAACGTCCTCCACCGCGATAAGTTAATGATGCTTTAACATATACTTCATCAACTATTAAAATGCACTGTGTTGTCGGTTAGTAAGTTTGGAAAAAACATGCAGAATAAATTCATCATTGTTTAATTTTGAAGCTTTTGATATCAATTTTTGCAGAGTAGAAACACTGGGTAGCTGATAATCATTTCGAATTCGAATAAAGTGCTCTTGAAACAGAAAACATTCAAAAGCTTGAACAATAGTGTTTGAAGAATATAGTGTATCACCAATACTTAAAATTTTCATCGAAGATAAAGTTTCTATAGTAAATTGGTTTTTTTATCGATAACTCCATATTAGTTAAATATCTTATAGCTTCAGCCAAATTCGACCATTTGTCTAAAATAGTTACATGATTTTTAGACAAACTTGTTACATAGCATAAGCATCCACAATGATACGTCTCATATTTTAAATTGGAAGAAAGATTTAGTATGAACCTAAGAAGATTTAGTATGAACCTAAGAAGATTTAGTATGAACCTAAGAAGATTTAGTATGAACCTAAGAAGATTTAGTATGAACCTAAGAAGATTTAGTATGAACCTAAGAAGATTTAGTATGAACCTAAGAAGATTTAGTATGAACTTAAGAAGATTTAGTATGAACCTAAGAAGATTTACTATGAACCTAAGAAGATTTAGTATGAACCTAAGAAGATTTACTATGAACCTAAGAAGATTTAGTATGAACCTAAGAAGATTTACTATGAACCTAAGAAGATTTAGTATGAACCTATAAAAAAAATATTTAGATTTTTACAAAAATCTGTAACAATTATTTAATTTTTTATTTATATATACATAAAAATTTAAAGAAAGCTTATCCTACTTTGGTAAGCCACAGTAAAATTCAGTCGATTGAAAACAAATCTTTTAATCACATTTGTAGACAACTATACAGTTTAATAAATCTTCTGGTATTTTTTTTTGGTAATGAATAATCAAATCATTAAAATTCAAAGAGTCCATGGCTTTGAACGTCTCAAGTTGATCAGCTTGTACATTTCTTGTACCAGCTGATGAAGTTGTAACTCTTGATTTTGGAGGTGCAGTTGGTACAAGGCTGGATTTAACACAATGAAAAATAGAAGGCGGAGACAAGGGTCTTACCATAAACAATAATTTTTTTAAAATTTATAGGCAAATGTTCAGAACATGCAACAGTGTATTTACTATCAGGAATGTTGCTTCTTGGAATAGATGATAGCCAATTTCTACGTTCTTCTGGATCTTTTGGTAATCTGTAAATAGCACACTTTTTTTTTATCTGTTAAATAATTAGTAGAGCAATTTGGGACACAACACTTTAAAGGCATAATAAGTCTCAAGATATATTTTTTCTTCTTCTAATTGCAAGCAACGATACTAACCTTCGGCAAATTTTTCTGAGTTAATCGGCCTCCAGTTATTTTTACGGTTTGCACGATTATTAGGCCTGTGTTTTAGATAGCCGTGAACTGAATACAAAATTTTAAAATCTTTTTGTTCATGTGTGCTATTTATTTTGTATTAATTTCTGAACGCTTGATAATCTTTTTCCGGGTTGGGCTGAGCCCAAGTGCCAGATTACTGAATGGGGCCAAAGCCGTTCTACGCATATAAAAAAATCCTTTTTTTAGCGAGAAAAGATATCTTATTATAATTGTATAAACGAATATAGTGGTTATTTAAAAAAGTGTCAAACAATCAAAATAGTTTATAGACACCATTTGTTTCAAACCTTTTTGTTTTCACTTTACTTGTTTAACTTAATTTATGAATTTAATATTATATTTTGTTGTTATTAATTTTTTTGATATTATTCAACTTAGGATAGATAACCATATTCAATATATTATTTTTATTAAAATATGAATAAAATAAGACGTCAAATGTTTTGTAAAATTTTCAAAAACCCCTATTTTTAAATCTGATCTTTGTCGCTGACGAGATCTTTTTTTAAATAATAAAAAAATTATTTAAATCAAAAATTTAAATCAAAATTTTTTTTTATTAAAGTTAAAACATAAAATCATATTAATTTTACGAAACAAGTCGATTAAAAACAAAAATAAAAAACTTCTTGTAATAAAACAAAAATTAGAAAAATTTTGACAATTGATTAATTAGTTTCAAATGATTAGTTTCATTTTTCAAACTTCAATTTGATGTTTTTCGCCATAAAGGCACGGCTCTAAATAATTAAAAATGCAGGTTAATGATGTAACAAATTGAATAAATTATACATACTAGTAAGGGGGTTTAAACTGACTTAAACAAACATAAATATTTGTGTAATTATGGTTTGCTATGAATCGTTAAAGTTACTTAGTAAAGTTTCCGTTAAAGTTTCACAATTTAGAAAGATTTGGGGTTGCAACTACTTTTTTTTTTTTAATGGAAAAATAAACAAAGCAATACTTCAAGAATTTTTTTATGAAAGTAGGTCAACCCTTTTTTTTTATAATACCTCCAAATTATGATTTGTTTATATCTGCTTTGTATGTATGTTACTGTTAGTGTCACAACAGTTAGTGGCGACGTTTAAATGACTTACTTTTTAGGTAATAATCTGACATCAGGTATTGCAGAAGAAACTTTATTTTGACTATCGCTTTCCCGTCGACACTTTAGTACTTCGGTAAGCTCATACAAACGAGCTGGATCACGACTGACATTTACAGCAACCTAAAAAAAAGAGTGTCTATTAAAATAAATAAGTAAAACACATAAATTAAAATAAATAATATATATTTGTTATTATTTTCATAAATTGTTGTTAATTTTTTGCACTTTAAGAGTTACTAGACTTTAAGTCACCTTCTCTTTGAGCTTTTCCAATCTTTTTTCTTTTTCTTCAAGTTCATATTTTCTTGCCAGCTGTTTTTCTCTTTTAAAACTAATCAATTTCTCGTTCTAATAAAAAATTATTTTCATAAAAAAGAAATTATTGATAATGTAAAGAATCATTTACAATAATAAAAATATTTGTGACGCAATCGTAAATAAAAATACAAAAACTATTTTTCATTAAAAAAAGTAATTATTAGTAACGTATGAAAATTTAATTGATTAAAAAGGAGAAGGAAAAAAAAAGAAAAGGAGAAAAAAAGAAAAGAAAAGGTAATAATAGAATTTTTTTAACTTATATCACATTTGCACAGCAGTTGGATAACACTTCTTTTTAAAAAAATGGTCCAAAAAAAGTACAAAAATTCACTTTCTTACAAATAGAGCATTATTTTGCAAGAGTTTCAATACTTTTATAGCACAAATTCAGATGTAGAACAGTATACAACACAACATACTCTAGGGTATTATAATGTTGTTTGAATAGACAATATTTTGCTGTCGTCGAAATCATACAGCGTTGCTGTCGTCGACGCAGTATGATTTCTTTAGCATTAACTTTTAACTCAGATCTTTGCATTAAGAAAAACAGATTTCTTAGGATCATCAATTGTAAGCTTATGATATTTGACAGTAATCCACATAGAGACATAAGTTTCATTCTTGTTAATGTGTTTAGAACTGTTGATGTTTTATTTGAAACAAGGATAAAATCTACAAGTATTGTATGCAATCGTCAGCGACCTATAGCAGCCTATAGGTCGCAGCCTATCTTCATATGCTTTAAATCCTTATCAAACTAACAAGAAATCAGTGCTGATGTAACTCTCTTCATGTATTTCTGGTCTGCCATTAAATCTTTTCAAACTTCATCTTGCAGTTTACGTAGAAACTGTAGACAGTCAAAATGTTTGTATCTGATAACAATAACATTTATATAAGGACAAGCAATACCAGGTGTCGTATTGCTTGTCAAGTTTCTAAAACATGTTAGCATCCGTTGCTGAGCTAATTTGATAGTAATGAGTTTTAATGACAATTCATTTAGTTGCAGAAGAAAAAATTTCAATTGTTAAACACACCCGGTGTTTACTACAATCAAATGATTAGTTCCACATTCTGTTCCAACATTAGTATATAACATCACTTTAATTTTGTCAATAAAATTTTTTGTTTAAGAAATCAAATGAGAGGTTTAGAAAGAGCTTTAGATTTACCATCACCATGGTGATACATGAAAAACTTAGTATCAGAGAGTAGAAAAAACTGTGACGCGTTCCTCAGAGATTAGAACAATTGTAACGTGTTCCTCAGAAAGCAGAACAATTTTAACGTATTCCTCAGAGAGTAGAACAATTGTAATGTGTTCCTCAGAGAGTAGAACAATTGTAATGTATTCCTCAGAGAGTAGAACTATTCTAATGTGTTCCTCAGAGAGTAGAATAATTGTGACGTATTTCTCAGTTTTCCTTGATATATATTTTTCATGTAATCTCTCGTGAATTTAAGTCACATCTATTTATCCATTGTAACCAACTACATACAAAAATAATCTTTTTCAAATGATTAACTGCTCTGCATTGGAAATCAAAAGATTAACTGCTTTATTAAAGAAACCAGAGACTAAATTATAGAAAGACCAGAGAATTATTATACCTTTCTATGTTGCCTCTCATTATCACCAGTTTCCACACTTTAAAAAAAAACTTCAAACTTCAATTCTCATTGGTGTTGTTCCAGTGTACCCCTGCTTTCTTGCATTAATAATTTTAAACCATTGTCCATTTTTGTTTTTTCGAACAAGAAACTTTAATTAATATCTAATTCTGTTGGAATTAGATTTACAAACACAAACTGATCTGTAGTCATTTGGTGCTAACATAACCTGCAAAACTATTTATTACAAGACATACTTTAAGTAAAGCATATATCAAATAAGTAGCTGGATGAAGTCGCAGAAGCAGTTGTAACTTAATGATTAGTTGGTGACCCAGGAGATTCCGATTTAACTCTAGCATAAAATCTCAAAAAAGAAATGTTGTGTTCATCTGCATAAAAAAAGCATATAAACATAATTCTTGCTAATAATTTAATTTAAACTCAAAAAAACAGAAATGCTTATCTAGATATCAATAAAAATGAATCAGCTGAGATTGTCAGATAAAAATAAAATGAAAGAAAACACACGAAGTCTTTGGTATACCGGATTGGTATTTCAGATGGAACCACGGTCTACTAAATAACAGGCCTAAAAGAAGTAAAATTAAAAAAATAACTGATATTTAAAAGAATAAAAATTGAAAATGTTGATTACTTTTTTTAGTGTTGTTAGTCGTTTTTTTTTTATTAAAACATGTTTTAAATATTGTATAAGTTAAAAATATTATATTATTGTGTAATTTTAAATATTGTATATATTGAATATTTAGTTAATATAGTATTGAAAATGGTTATGTCATTATTATAATCAATAAAATTTATGTAAAACCACAACTAACGTATCAATAACGTATGGTAACTTATTTGGAAAATCAGTAAATAATCCAGAACCATTTTGATTTTTATGATTTGCTCATTATTTGAAGATAAAAAACTTTTGTACAAAGCTCTGCCAGTGTTGCATTTAAGTGGTGATTTTCAATATGATATGTTAAATTTAGTTTCATTGTGTACTGTGTGCAATACTGTTGCAATTTTGTGTAATAATAATAGAGTAAATCTTTAAAAAATTTCTCAATGGCAAGAGAATGTTGCACTATGTCTTAAAATTTTATCTAAATCTTAAAATGTCTTCTTTTAAAATGATTCATCTGGAAATGCATGATTCAGGTGAAACTGTTCACATATAGCAAAATTTGCAGACATCAAAATTTGTAGATTTTTTTAAAATCCTAAATGTCAAAAGTCAGTTTGAAGATGTCTGATTTAAAAACTTTAAAAGATCTGCCCTTATTAATCCTAACAATCAATGATTAGAAAATTTACTTGATTTAACATTTAAGTTTGAAAAAATGGTCCCTAAAAAGCAAGGGGAGAAAGTAAAGCAACTTACCAAAAAAACTGTTCTTGCATTATCTCATATACATGTAGAGGAGTGGTTGAGTTAACAAAGCACCTCCTCAACAACATGATTTTGTATGTCTAGGAAATTTTTCCAGTGATCCCATTGAAAAAATGTTTAGTAATCTGTGTTCTGGTGAAGCATATTTCATCAATGTTCAACAAGTTTTACAAAAAGTAAACATTAAGAAAATTAAGCTTCTTCTTAATTTACACATAAAATTTAATAGAATTCAAAAAAGTTTTGAGCACACTTATTTGAAATATGGATTTTTATCAAATGGATTCATCAACAGAAACAATGCAGAAGAAAGTGATACAAAGTTCTATTTCAAAGAGTTTGGAGGTAATTAAATAAATTGAATACTGAAGAACCTAACAGAGGTGGATTGAAGTTACCTGGAGACAATATGTGACAATTGGTTATTTATTGCTATATATTTTTCCTTCATATCATGTTGTGAGTTTGTCGGACAAGTCTTATAAATATAACAAACATAGATAAGTTTCATGGAAAAAAATGTTTAACAACTCTAGCAAGCTTGACACACCTTGATCAACAAAATAACCTGCTTTAAAAGTGCTTAAATTATCACAAAAATGATTAACCTAAAATAATTTCTATTCATTGTTATTGAGTAGAAATATAAATATATGAAAAATATATATTTTAACAAAACTTAAACATAGCTAAATTCACACTCTTCAAAACTACATTTAAATGATTACAAATAAAAACTACCACAGAGGCCACAGAGCTTATAAGTCAAAAGAACAAGCCCCTGCTCTTGATTATGTGATGCTCACTTAATATTGAATTAGGCAAAAAAAAAAAACTAAAAATATTTTATAATTATTTTAAATAAAAATTTACTTTTTTATTATTCATTTTATTTATCACTTGATATATTTTCTTATAATATTAGAAACAATATTTAAATATAATATTAAGCATTTTTCTATAAGTAAATATTTAGTAACCATTATATTCTTAAATTGAAACCTTACCCTTTCCAAAATCTTTTCTTTTTGTTCTAAAGATAGTACTTTACGATGTACTTTTTTTTCATTGGCTAGTTTAAGAGCAGCTTTATGTTTTTTATACTCTTCAACTTGCAGTTTTAACTGAATCTAAAAATAAAGCTAACAACTGTAACTAACAATAATTTTAAACAAATAAAAAATTTTAAATAACACAATTAACTTTTTGTTTTAATTTTTCAACTGTAAAGTGTTCAAATTGAACACTTTACAGTTTTGGTAATTTTTACATAAAATTTACTTTTCATATTTTCTTTACTTTTATATATTTTGTATACTTGTATACTTTTCATATTTTATGTCATAGTTAAAAACTTTTATCATTTTCACATCTTATTCAGTAATGTTTTAATTCTGATAAATATTGTCTTCAAGAGAAAAAATTTCATTGTTTGAAAAATGTTTCTTTCTAAAATCAACACAAATTCCTTTGCATAGCTTGTCATCATGCAATTATTAATGAGGTTGACATTTTGATAAAATAGTTTTTCCATGGATGGTGTTGGAGAAAACACCATCCATGAAAATATTTTTTTTTGAGAATTGCTTTCTCTAATTCTTTTCTCTAACACCATAATTACAACCTTCAGAATAAGAAAAATGAGGTCAACAATATGCTAATCTCAAATTTTTAGAGGTCAGCAAAAAAATATTGACACAAAGGGGTAACCATAAAACATAAAAAACAAGGTCGGTAATTTTTTTCTAACCTTAAACACTTAAAGGTCAGCAGTTAGGTCAGCATTGCTGACCCTAATTCTATGGGCTGTAATGATAATAGTATAACTCATAAATTATACAAATACAAGCACGGTAATTTGACTTGATTTTATTTAAAAGAAAAAATCAACAAGCCTGAAATTTTTTTCATAAAAAAAATATGCAATAAAAATCTTCATAATATTTTTTAGTAAGTTTAATTACTATTTGATATTTATTTAACATATAAAGTAACACTGCATAACCATAATATTTATCTTTTCTAAACAACAAAGTCAAGACTTTCTTTTATGATGATTTCATGGAAATGATGCTGCAAACAAGGTAAAGTATCTTTCTATCAAGAACAATTACTCTTGAATAATAGTACCTTGAATACATGCAATGTTGTTGAATACATGCAATATTGTTGAATACATGCAATGTTGTTGAATACATCCAATGTTGTTGAATACATCCAATGTTGTTGAATACATCCAATGTTTGTAGCAGTTTTAAAACTGTAATTACAAACAATTTTTTTTACATTACATTTTTTTACACCATTCCAAAAAGTTAATGTACTCTTTTGTTCTAAGTCACCTTTTCCATTTTAATAAGTTTTGAATTTCAAAACTCTTTTATTTTAGACATTCAGAAGTGTTTTGATTAAGACTTCTGAATTTTTACAATAAAAGTTAGTCATGCAGTTTTTCATTAGTGCTTAAAAAACATTTCTTTTTTTGAGACTCCTTCTTTTGCCATCATAGTCCTAAAAGAATTAGATTTGCTTGATTGCTTGTAATTTTAACACAATCTACTGCTTCCACTACCTAAGGGTCATTAAAAATGTTTTAAGGTAGTGAATTTAGAACTTTTCTTTTCTGGTAAATTTTTTTCCATAAAATAAGAAAATACTTATCTGTTTCTACCGCAAGTACATCTTTTTAGTTTATTCATTTAAAAAGTCAATATCTAATATTTTAAATTGCTTCAACAGAAAACTCGTAAAGCTTCATTACCTTTTATGAAAGAATTTTGTAGAATAATAGATAATGTAGATAGCAATTTTGATTGTGCAAAGGACTCAAAAGATAACCTTGATACGTCAGAAAACTCCTTCTTAAAAATTCAGCCTAATAAACCAAACTGTTACTATGGATGTTTTAAAAAATTTGAATTGGATGTTTACAAAAAATATTATATGCAGGTTTTAGATGGTTCAGGAAAATACCAGAACATTTGCAAAGTCAAGTTTGTGAAAAATATTTTATTCATTTTGATGAAACAACTCATTTTTTAGGTGAGTTATGTTCTACCAATTAGAGACAGAATATCTGCATCATTTATATGCATTGAGAGTTTTCAAAAAACAAAAAATGTATTAAAATGCTACATTGTATAAATTGTATTAAAATTACATGTATTAAAAAATTAAAAGAGAGAAAGAGAGATCAAAAAAAGAGAGAGAGAGAGTTAAAACCTTTCTCTGTTCTTCTTTATCATTTAATGGAACTTCTTTTTTATTATGTTCTTCTTCTAATTTTTGATTTCCTTTCTCCTTCTAAAATTAAAAAAGTGTAAAAAATACTATGTAGACTTAGATACAGATTTAACTTGTGAAAATGAAATCAGAGCAGCATTTTGTAACACAAGAATAATATATTAAAAACAGTATTATTTATTTTGCATTTAACTTTACTTTCCACTGTTCTAGTACTGCAAAGCGTTTTTCCCTTTCTTTTTTGAATAACATTTCTCGTTGAACTCTTTTTTTTTCTTCTTCAGTTGGTTCATCATCATTTTTTGCAAGAGCAGATTCCCGATTGTGCTAAAATAATGTTTTATTTTTACAATATATTATTTATATGTATATTACTGAATAATATATTAACAATCCTAAATGAAAATATATTGTTTATATGCATATTACTGATTTTCAGGGTAATTTTGAAGATATATTTTGGTGGATTAAATATCAAATCATATGAATAATAATTGTTAAATAATGTCTTTATAGAACTCTGTAAAACTAATTAATTGACAATAGCACAAGTTTTAGAAATACCTTTATAAGTAAAGCAATGAAAAAAAAGTTAACAACCTGTTTCATGATTTTCCACATGCAAATGGCTTTTCTTTTTCTCTCTTTTAGTTTAGAATACTCATGAAACCATTGTATATGCTGGATAATATCCTCACGAGATTGTGTAGCAATCTCTTCTTCTGCTTTTTTTATTAATTCTTCATTGTTCTACAGTTAATAAAAAATTGTAACTGTATAAAGAATTACCTAGCAATAGATACTAATATCTTGCAACAGATAATACAAATATCTTACCTAAAATCTTAAGTTTTTTTTTTATTAACTCTTTACAAAGAGTTGTAAAATTTAAATAATAAAGGTCTAGCTAATGCAGAAAAATCAACAAATAAAGAGATTACACTACAATAATAAATGAATTATTAGTTTTTACGGAGTAACATTCAATATTTTGTATTTCAATATTTTGATATTTTTTCAATTTATTTTAATCTAAAAGCTTATTGTTAAATCTTATTGTTTATTCTATTTCAATGATCAAAAACAAAATAGTAATAAATAGTTTTTTAAAATGCTTGTGAAATGTTTTTTTTTTTAAATGCTTGTGAAATATTTTTTTTTTGAAACTTACAATTTTACAACAAATGTAAAATTGCATTTTTAGATAAAATTTTCTAATGAAAATAATTTTATTTAGCCAAAATTTCAGACTTAGTTTTAGCAAAATGTTTGCCAAAATGTTGGTTTTGGTTTCGGTATTAAACAAGCAACCTTCAAAATTAGGAAAAATGAGATGGGCAATAAACTGCCGACCTCTAACTGTTAGACGATTTTTTGCTGAACTCAAACACTTTAAGGTCAACAGTTAGGTCAGCATTGCTGAATGCCAACCCTAATTTCATAAGCTGAACTAGTGTACCCTAAATTTTTTATTTATTTTGGTTTCTTCATATTTCATGTTTTAGTCGATAACTACCTTTGGAGCATTTTAAAAAGTTTATAAGAATAACTGGCTAAATTTACTAATAAAAAAATAAAAAAACTAATAAATAAATAAAATAAAAAATAACTAAATATAACTAAAACATTTGACCATCGAAACTCTAGACTTTTAAAACATCTTAAAATAATCTTGAAGGTATACAAAAGCTTTGCAGAGACTTTTTAGTCAAGTCTCAGCTTGATCATATTCATATAGTTGGCTAGAGTTTTTATTTTACAGTAGATATGATCATTTTCGTAAAATAAATATATTTTCTTTGAAAAACATGTTTTTTACTCACCTTGTAAATTTAAAAAAAGACTATTTGTTGTGACCCATTAAATAAAAGGGAGAAAATTGTTTTAATTCTTTGACAACAGATTTCTATAAGAAATTTTTTTTTGACAATCAATGATTTTAACAACATAACAATCATTCTTTTCTTTTTTTAAACTTTGAAAACTTTGAAGACAAATAATTTATAGGTAGTTTATGTGTAAAATATGTTTTAAGTAAACAACTAAGGATAAGTTTATGGTAAGACAACATAAATTTAAAAGTGTCTTACCATAAAATATGTTTTAAGTAAACAACTAAGGATGAGTTTATGGTAAGACAACATGAATTTAAAACTTACCATAAAATATGTTTTAAGTAAACAACTAAGGATAAGTTTATGGTAAGACAACATGAATTTAAAACTTACCATAAAACATGTTTTAAGTAAACAACTAAGGATAAGTTTATGGTAAGACAACATGAATTTAAGTGTCTTATCATAAAATATGTTTTAAGTAAACAACTAAGGATAAGTTTATGGTAAGACAACATGAATTTAAAAGTGTCTTACCATAAAATATGTTTTAAGTAAACAACTAAGGATAAGTTTATAGTAAGACAGCATGAATTTAAAAGTGTCTTATCATAAAATATGTTTTAAGTAAACAACTAAGGATAAGTTTACATGAATTTAAAAGTGTCTTATCATAAAATATGTTTTAAGTAAACAACTAAGGATAAATTTATGGTAAGACAACATGAATTAAAAAAAAAACTTTTTTATTTTATTTTAAAAAAACTAAACTTATTTTATTTTATTTTAAATCAGAAACCCAAAATCGGTAAACCAATACAAGCCAACAGATGTGTTTATTTGATTAGTAACAAACAACTCATAAAACAAATATTAAAAAAAACTTGCCTTAAACTGTTTCCTTAACTTTAAAAAAATATTATGATCAATGTCATCCCAACCACCTTGATGACCACCAGTTAGCATAATATAATCCTAAATTGATAAATGCACAATTAGTATAAATTAGTGTAAAATTAGTATAAATTAGTATAAATTAGTGTAACTTAAATATATAAATTACTTTAACCTTTGACAAAGTTGTTTAAAATTTAATCCTATAATTTTTTTACAAATATACCTCCCCAAGACTAGGGTACCACTTTTATGAAGGAGACAATTTATTTCTTCTTCTCTTGCTACCCAATAATTTAAAGTCAAAAATCTTCTTCTAACCTCAAAATCTTTAACTTCCTCAGGTAATTTAAATTCATCTTTATTGTTATTAATGTTGACTTTTGGTACTTTAAATACTTTGTTAGACCACTGTTCAAATTTCTTTTCATAACCATTAACTATATCTGTTAACTTCTGTTCTTTCAAATTGAGTTCTTCATATCTAGACATAAAAAGGTATATTAGTAAAATATATATTTAAAAAAATGCATTATTCATTTGGCATCTTTCATATTCTACTAAATTTTTAAAAAATAATTTGATAACCAATCTGTTGATTCCAAGAATTCTGTTAAAATTCCAATAATACTATGAAACTCAAAGAACATCAAAAACAAAAAAAAATCATTTGGATTTATATTTATTAAATAATAATTTTATCAGTATTTATTATTAATTATAACAATATGTAATTAAGATTGGTATGATTACATTTGTTAGAGCAATTAAATAAAAAATTTACTCAAAATTAAAACATACATTTTACTTTGCTTTTCTTTCAGCTGCATTATGTTAGATTCTATATCTTCTATACATAAACGTAACTTTTCAATAACTAAAAAATAAAAGAAAGAATTTCTAATCAAGCCATCTTTAGACCAAATTTTTAAACCACATAAATGTGTCAATGTAAAACCAACATACAATGGTTAAATAAGCACAGTGTGATTATACCAATATAGTGTGGTAAAACCAATATAGTATAGCATATACAAAAAACATAGTGTTATATATACAACCAACATAGTGATGTATATACAAGCAACATAGTGTAGTATATACAACATAGTGTGGTATATTATGACTCCTTAATTATGTTTATCATTTCAAATTAAGATAGTAACACTATCCAACAATTATTTTTATATGCATTGTAATGCATGTATCTAGCGTAAAATTTTATAAAATTTTAGGAAATGTACTTATTTTTATCTTTTAAATTAGTGGTTTTATGTAAATTGCAACTGATTGTTTTTTTAGTGTAAGCCTTTCGATGTTTTTTTGTATTTAAGATCTGTATCTCCAACCTACTCACCTGCTTTGCTTTTGCTTTTTTAATGAATGCCAATATAACCATCCCCTAGTTACCCCCTCCCCCTCCCACAGTTAATATGTAATTTCTGTTTGAATTTTTTTTTTTACAATTCTAACAATGAACAAGCTATTGATTAAATGAAATTTAAATTTAAATTAAATTGCATGTAAGAGCTTAATGTGATCGTGTACCTTGCTTGTTGCAGATTGAAATAAATTGGCAACTTCCACTTGTCACATCTGTAAAAATGAGAGAAACAAGTTTTGCTATATATGTGGCAAATATACTGCAAAAAAAGTACAACTAATAAACCTGAAAACTGTATGCTGCTTATATTGATACAAAAATAGATATGGCTACTTGGGCACCACAATATTGTTGCACTAGCTGTTTTTTGCGACTAAGCAATTTGTTAAATACTGGCTAACACATGCCATTTGGTATTCCTATGATCTGTGTCAGCCACAATATCATTTCAATGATAGTTAATTTTGCTGCGTAATCTTTCTCTTACTGTTATTGGAAATGGAAATATATCATATCCAAATGTTCAATCCATCTCTCATCCAATATCACACTCAGATTCAATTTCAGTACCCAAGAAACCTGATTACTTGCTTGAAGAAATACATGCAGACATCTAAGAAATAGATGACGACCTATGCATTGTATATAAAGGTGTTAATGGTGTGACATTAAAGGTTCATTTCAATTCTTTGAAAGGAACACTATTTTACTGAATTTTGTCTTTTTATTAATGACTTGGAAACGAGTGCCAAAGCTGTATTGTTAAATATTGGCTACCAATCATGCCTGTTGCATATTTAATGATCATACGAGAAACCTATAAAAATCTGAAAGACATTCTGAATGGCATACAGTATAATAAGCATCAGTGGATCATACGTGCTGATCTGAAAGTTGCATTCTTAATAAGATTTCAAGTAGGATAAACTTCATTGTGTATCTGATGAGTATGGTGAACAATTTCATCAAGAAATCAGTGAGATGAAAAGTAGTTATAAAGGAAAACCTTCACCTTCATTACTTGCTGATTACTGCTGGACTTTAGTGCGTGATTCATAGTCCTCAGAAGAATTAGTGCAATGAAACATTTTTGAGATTTTACAGGCTAGACTATTTTACATACGTACTAGTAATATTGTATTTTACATAACACATACATATTCAACCCAAATAGAAGAGTCACCATCAAAAGACTATTTATGTGATTTGTAAATAAATAATAAAAAAGGAAAACAACTTGCAGTTGAAATTTACACAGTAAATGTTAAAACAAAAGCTAAAATCAAATTTTGCACCCCAAAATTAACTAAGAAAAAATTTAACTGTTTTCATAAAAAAAGTTTGGTCAGTGTAATACAAAAGTTTATTTTACATAACAACATATGCATTTTATCAAATTTTATAAATTAAATAAACTTACAAGCAGTACTTTTCTTTTGAGACAATTTTTCGTTTTTTAAAGTTTCAACTTTTATTGAAATTTTCTTTATACTTTCTTTCAACTGATTTTCTATATATAACCAAATGAAAAAAGAATTCTATAAATATTTAACAACAACAACAATAACAAAAATAAACCAAACCAAAATATGATTTCCAAAAATTTTTAATTTTAAAGCTCTTGATTTAATTTATATTATTTTTGAATTCCTATTATTTTGTTTAACTTTGTATTCACAATACCTTGTTTATAAAATGTTAAATATAAAATTTAATGTATTTTAATGTAATGTTAATAAAGATTAACTTAATATAAAACCTTAGCCTAAAATCTCATACTTTGTCTTGTTTTCACATCTCTATGTGACGTTTTGAAAATTTAGACAATAGCTTAAAAGATATTTTAACAATAGAAAATGAAAAAAAACTAACCTTGAAAAAAAAAATGAAAAAAACTTAAAAAGATGTTTTTTTAATTAAGTTTGGAATTAACAACTTTGAAACTTTGATCACTTAATGCTTTTATATTAAGTCATACGCTTTTTATGTAAGGTTCAATTAAGTTTTTAATAGATAATCACATTTTACTTTAGTCATCAAAAACGTAACAAAAATTACATATAATACTTTTTAGTTACGTTTGAAATAAATAACTTTGAAACCTAAATTTTTTAATATTTTTATAATATTAGGCAATACGCTTTTATATAAGGAACAACTTAGTTCCAATGGTACTTTAATATAAGTAACAACTTAGTTCCAATGCTACTTTAATAAATAAACGCGCTTTATTTTAAAGATCAAAAATCATTATGTGTAATATTTTATATGTGATTTATTTCTTTCAACAAGTTTCCAAAAGTCTTTTTTTAAATTTTGTTTTGTTTCAAAATTACATTTACATAAAAAATAATATTAAAGTAATTGTTTGTTTGATAATATATTCTTAAAACAATTTATGCTAGAAATCTCAAAACTTAATAAACCTTGAATAATACAATTTTTAAAACATTTTAACAGAATACTCTAGAAATTTTACACCAGGCTTGGTTGCTTCCTGACCAAGCCTAGTGTACAATGGATCAAAAACTGCAATTGAGTGTAAAATAGTTTTAAAACTGAATTAAAACAATAAATGGTGTCATCACAGGCATTTATTTGATTAGAATCTTCAAGTGGTATTAAACAAGTGGTGCAATAATTTACAAATTTTGGGACATTAAGATATTGAGTTGAGATAATGAGACATTAAGTTGCATACCATTATACTATATTATACAAGAACTATCATAACTATGACAATTACTATAAAAAAATAAAATTATTATAAACAATTATTATAAACAAATTATTATTACAAACAATTATTATAAACAAAATAAACAATATAAATTAAAATAAATAATAAAAATAAAATAAGTAAAAAAAAAACAAAAAAAAATAAAAATAAAACAAGAAACAACCAGTATATTATAAATATATTATAAATAATAAACCATAGTATTATAAATAAAATAAATATTATCATATATATAAATATATATATATATATATATATATATATATATATATATATATATATATATATATATATATATATATATATATATATATATATATATATATATATATATATATAATTATTATGAATTGTTATTATAAACTTACATTAAAAATAAATTCATTCTATTTTATGCCCTAATGCTGGATACAACAAAAGGTATTACAAAGAGATATAATATAAAAATAACAAGTATACAAGTAAATAGCAATAAAAACTTGATTTATCAATTATCAATACCAGTAATATTATTGGAAATTTATTTAATTCAAGACACTCTGAACTTTTGTAAAGAAAACTTTTGTAAAGAAAAAATTATATCGAGGTATTATTCAAAATATTTTGTATATTTTTTACTTTAGTATCTTACTTTCATTTTTTCTTTCATAATTCATTTTGTTTTCTTCTTCTTCCAAACAAGCAAAACTTTGATGACAGCTGTTCTTCGAATAAAGTTGAGATTTTTTCTCTTTTTCAATAGCAATAATCCTGTATAAATAATTATAATGAATTATATTTAGTGGAATAATCTTGTTTGTAAATTTATTTTATCAAAAAGTATATGTTATTAAAAAAATATATATTTGGGTGTCCCAAAAAACAACATTATTGAAAAATATATGCTGCCACTCTCTTAATGTGTTTTATGCAATAAAAAAACAATGGATTAAAAAAATTTTGAATAAAAAATATTTGTAGGGGTCCCACAAAACCCTTGAACATTTAAAGAATTAATTTCAAATGTGTATCTTGTTGGGTTTCAAATGAAGCAAAAAATGATAACTATATTATATAAAAATAAATATGGTTAACTTAACAGCATAAAAAAAAGTTTATTAACTGAAAAAGAAAAAAAGTGCATTTTTACCAATTTGTTTCAAAATATTTTTTTATAATAATTATCTTTTTTAGAATTTTCATCAGATTTCACTTCATTTGAGACCCAACATTATATCACTCATATAATCAAAATCCTCTTCTAAAATTTCATTGTTTTCTTCCTCATTTTCAAATGACCCCTAAAAAGACTTTCTATTTAAAAATTTTTAAACCCAGTGTTTTTCTATCATATAGAATACATTAAGGAGGTGGCAGAATATATTTTTCAAAAATGTTGCTTTTTGGAACACCCTAATATATATATAAATATATATACATATATATATATATATATACATATATATATATATATATATATACATATATATATATATATATATATATATATATATATATATATATATATATATATACATATATATATATATAGATACATATATATATATACATATATATATATATATATATATACATATATATATATACATATATATATATATATATATATATATATATATATATATATACACATATATATATATATATATATATATATATATATATATACATATATATATATACATATATATATATATATACATATATATATATATATATATATATATATATATATATATATATATATATATATATATATATATATATATATATATATATATATATATATATATATATCCATTTCCATCCATTTGGATAAATGCAGAAGAAAGAATAAACGAAGCAATAATAATTCCGCTGAAGTGTTAAGTGATATATCAGTTTTAGAGTCAAGGCCATCTACATCTGCAGCATCAAATAAGTCTAGCCTGTCTGATGATAATGAGCAAGATGGTTTAAGCTGGTTTGGTATGGTTTTATGAACAAAAAAATTAAAAATAAAAATTTAAGACCAAAAACCCATAAAGTTGGGTTTTTGGTCTTGGGTTTTTGGGTGGGTTTTTGGGTTTGGGTTTTTGGGTACCAACCCTGATATATATATATATATATATATATATATATATATATATATATATATATATATATATATATATATATATATATATATATATATTATGCGGTAGTGGTGTAGTGGTAGAGCACTCACTTCATAAACAAGTGGTTCCGAGTTCGATCCCCACCACGTCCCTGGTAGTACCGTGCTCAACTCGTCTGCCCGTGCAGCGGCCTTGTTCATCAAGGTTCGTGTTTCAGAGTTGAGAGTTGAGAGAGGGTTAGCCACAAATAAGTAGCCTCCTTGTCTGTAGTGGCCTTCTCGGCCTTGAGGAGTTGAATTAAAATAAAATATATATATATATATATACATATATATATATATAATATATATATATATATATATATATATATATATATATATATATATATATATATATATATATATATATATATATATATATATATATATATATATATATATATATATATGTATTGGGTTGGAGAATAAATTCGTTCAGTTTTCAAAGAGCTTTCTTTAAACAAAAAGTAATAATTATAACAATAAATTAATCAATTATGTATTCGCTGTTACTGTTTGCAACCTTGACCAATTTGTTGATGCCGTTCTGCCAAAATTCACCCAGTCTGGTGTCAAAGAAGATGTTGAGCCAGTTTTTGAGGTCTTCTTTGCCGTCAAAGTTGACACCCCTCATTTTATTTGTAAAGGAGCGGAAAAGGTGATTATCTGTTGGTGCAAGGTCCGGAAAGTATGGTGGATGTTGAAGAACCTTCCACTCAAGCTCTTGGAGTGCAGGTTTGACAACTTGTGCAACATGGGGTCTGGCGTTATTGTGGAGCAAGATAACTTGGTCTTGTTGGTCAATTGTTGGTTCAGTTGCATAATCTCATTTATGCGGCATAGTTGGGCAATGTAGAGTTCCTTGTTGACTGTTGCATTCCTTTTAAGCATTTCCCAGTGTATCATGCTTTCCCAGTCCCACAAAGCGTAGATCACCTTTTTGGAGTAGAGGTCTTGCTTGACACTTGGCATCAAGGTGTCTTCTGGGGCCACCTACTTCTTTCTTTGTTTCATATTAACGTAAAGGCACCATTTCTCATCTCTTGTGATGATTCAGTACAAAAAGTGCTGTTTATGGCCCCGTGTTGCTTGATGGTGCGAAAAGTGTTGTGAAGCGGTTTGAAAATGATTTTCTTTGGTAACTTTGTTAAGCATGTGAGGCACCCAGGTTCCAAGTTTTTTGGCAAATCCCAATGAGTGAAGATGATTAAGGAATCCTCAATGAGAATTGTCTTATGATCGCAGTTCATTTTCTGGCCAATTCACAACTTGTTTGGTGACCATCTTCCTTAAAAAGTACCTTGAGATGCTCCTCATCAAATTAGGTGGGTTGTCCGCTGTAAGGTATGTTTCCGAAGTCAAAGTCATAATTTTTGAACTTCGTAAACCATTTCTTTGCTGCGCGCTCACCTTCTCCATACATATTGCATATGTTATGAGTGGCTTCAGCTACTTTTTTGACTGCAATGAAAAGCGAAGTAAAGTAGGGTTCAAAAATGCTGATTTTTGCCACCTGGGTATTTTATTTCTAAGGGTGGAAAATAGGAAAAACTAAAAATATTCGAAAAAACAAATAACACAGTTATGTAGAACAGAAATATATATATATATATATATATATATATATATATATATATATATATATATATATATATATATATATATATTATATATATATATATATATATATATATATATTAGGGTGGTCCATAAAACAACTTTTTTGAGAAAAACCTGCTGACACCCCCTAAATGTGTTTTATCTAATGCAAAAACACTAGGTTTAAAATTTTTTTGAACAAAAATTATTTTTAGGGGTAGCTCAAGGCCCTCAAAAATTTGACGGGTCCCTAATATTTTGAAAAAAAAACTTTTTCTAAAGTATGTCAACCTGGTACTCAAAATAAGCAAAATTATATAAAAAATTTAAAAATGATAATAATTTTTTATAAAAATAATTTTTTTAGGTATAAATGCATAAAAACTATTGTTTTTAAGCTGAAAATAAAAAAAGTCAATATTTTCAGGTTTTTTGAGAATAATTTTTTTTAGGCATGTTTTTTATGTAAAATGATTATTATTTTTGAAGTTTTTATACAATATCGCTTCTTTTGAGTACCAGGTTGACATACTTTAGAAAAAGTTTTTTTTTCAAAATATTAGGGACCCGTCAAATTTTTGAGGGCCTTGAGCTACCCCTAAAAATAATTTTTGTTCAAAAAAATTTTAAACCTAGTGTTTTTGCATTAGATAAAACACATTTAGGGGGTGTCAGCAGGTTTTTCTCAAAAAAGTTGTTTTATGGACCACCCTAATATATATATATATATATATATATATATATATATATATTGCAAGCCTTCCCAGGAAAATCGTGCGGTTTTTTGTTTCGTATGACCACAGGCGATTAGATTATTTTAGAAAACGTGAACACGGCCGTTTGCAAGTTTTATAATAACGCTGAAAAAGTTTCAAAAACAAAAAAAACAAAACTAACAAAATAAAAAGGTTGAAATACAAAATAAAAAGGTTGAAATAGAAAAAAATAAAAACAAATTAATAATTTAAATAATTTGTGTACTGTTTTTATTTTTGTTTCTTTAGAGTTACATTCAGCAACAAAATTAGATAAGGCGAAGCAAAAAAAACAAAACAATTTGAGCTCTACAATAAAAAGAATGATTTTCCTTTTCTTAATTTTTTTTTAAGAGGATAGTAAAAATAAAAATTGCAATGTGTTTGTAAAATTTATTTTTATAATTTTAATGTAGCAACAAGGATTGAATTAAGCGAATGCAAAACGCAAAATCTGGAAAAATATCTAGCATTAAAAATTTTAGTTTATACAAAACCGTGTTCCATGTTTATAAGGGGAGAATCAACTTAAATTTGTTAGCAAAAAAATAAAAAATAAAAAAATAAACTTACGATTACAAAAGTAAGAACATTCTAGTCACTAACTGCATTACAAAAGTAGTAACACTATAACAGTGTTTTTACTTTTATAACGCACTTATAACTTTTAAAATCCATTCTTTGTTCAAGCAACATTAGTATTCCCAAATTTTGATTGAAGTAGAAAAATATCTAGAAGAATAAAGTGGACGTTCAAATAATATTAAAAATAAAGTAACTTATAAAATCGTGACAGACAACTTTATGAAAACGTATCATATTAAAAGTTAAGCATTATGACAAACGTTACTAATAGACCGTAAAAACGCGCGTTAATTTTAAAATTAACCAATAAAAATTTTTTATTGGTTAATTTTAAAATT